TTGCAGTGTGGCTCAAACACCTTTAAATTTGTGAAACCAAAAAGTGGTTAAAAGAGACATCTATTTGCAAAAAAATAAAAAATGCAAATATTCTATTTACATTTCAATATTTTCCAAGTTTGTCCATTACATTACCTATACTATAACTTGCTTTAAAACACTTAACTTTTCAAAACATTCCAACTCTTTTTTAAAAGAACTGCTTATTACACTTATTGGCTTATTATGCAACACCAAAGGTAGGTGACTGCAGCACCCCCTCTTTCATGTACTTTGTGAAAGACTCATAGTCTGAGTGTACAGGAAGGCGGAGCACTATAAGGCAAGTATTTGCTTCTGGGAAGACTTTGTTAGCCTCATGGAGAAATTCAATTTGAGGACGATGGGGAAAGCCCAGTGGAGGCACCGTGGATGCTCCGGAAGCAAACTCCAGTATCATTTCAAGGGTAACGGGGCTGCATTCTCCTACTGAAAGACAAAATGTTGAAATTATGACGTTTGATATAAGGTATCCAGTGTGTACTTGTAAAGACATGAAAGAAAATGTGTTAAATGCCTGTCCATGTTCCTCCTCAATCTTGTTAGATCAGTGATGACAATGCATTTCTTGTTAGTAAATACAAATCAATAAACATTTTGAAGATGAACCATGACTAAGCATGATCATTGTAAATAATATGTAAAAGTATGCATTTATACAACAAATTATCCAATTTATATTCACTGATAAAAGACTATTTCTATGGCAGCTTAAAAAAAAGACTTTCCAGGAAAGACACATTTCCAGCAATTTTTTGGTCCTGTCACTAGTCATTTAAAAAGCCTACATCTATACTCAAACTATGATTGCTTCTTTTTGGACAGTGGTGATAAATTGGTCACAAAATCTAATTAATACCGGTTGTGCTTAAAGCATCACAATAAATGTACCTTCAATATCCACCAACCAGTCTCTCCAGTAGCATATGGTTTGATTTTCTATCCTCCTTTTATTGCTGCCTTGCACAGAAAAACACACTTGGAAAAGTGTGCACAGGTCCCGTGCTGAGAGTGGTTTCTCCTCACAGACAAACAATTCATGAAAGACTGCAGGGTTTTTCTGAATCTCATCTAGCACATTGAGAGTCTTCAAACCTTCCACAAACCTTTAAGAAATGAGAATATGGTCATACTTTAGAATACAACAAGATTTCTAAAAAAAAAAAAATAGGGTCTTGCTTACTGTTGCAATGCAGTGCACACTCGGCCATTTGCAAAGAAGTCTGCAGCAGATTGCACAAGGGAGTCCCTCTCTTCCAGAGTAGTTACACGCCTTAATGCTCCAACAATGCTCAGGGTATCTGCTGCCTGCATAATGGCTTCGTTTGCCTCCACGACTGTGTTTGCATCCTGAATCTAAAAAGAAAAAAAATTATGTGAAACTGAATTTAAGCTTATGATCAATATTCAAAATGCTTAAAATTGTGACTAACTTTGATCAGCTGCTCTCTGAATGAATGGTTAACAACTTCCTCAACCAGGGTAGGTTGAGACAATGTGCCACAAATGTGGTCATACAGCCTTTGAGAGAAGAAATGTGGTCCAATGCCTCCATGCACCAAACAGACTGATATCATTTTTCCAATACAGTTGTACATTTTTGACTCCAGCGCTAAAGAAAAAAAAAGTTACTTGACAATTTTCTATCCTTAAGAATTGGGAAAAATAAATAAATAGTAATACTAACCACTAGTGTCCAAAGCTAGGTGGCGGTCATTCTCGTGCCCCTCAAAGACATTAGATTGATGAATTGCCCTCATTAACAGTCTTAGATATTCTCGTGTGGGACCACCTTCATCAACTGCCCCTTCAGCGCTGCCCTCCTCATCCACAAAAATAACGTCCAGTTTTGCTGCTGGATCAAAACGGCGTCTTCTGAAGGCATGCAAGCTACATTCTAAAATCCTGTCTCTGCACACATTTATTTGGTTGCTTGTAGGACAGAAGGTCATATCAACCTTGCTGTACAGTTTTGTTAATATGGTCTGAAGATCTGTCCTGCAAAAAAAAAAACTATTTTATTTTGCATTGTTGGAGTAAACAATGGTTTGAAACTGTCAAAACTAATTACAAAAGACAGCCAGAATATGCAATTTTGACTCACTCATAAAAAGGCAACTCTGGTGGATGTTGTGGAGACTCAGGTGGCTCTTCTTGGTCTTCCAGTATAATTATAGGTTGCTCAGTAAATGGAGAAGCTGGTGCCTGTTCCTCAATGGTCATCACATGTGGAGTTAGGTTATAGTGGGGGGAGAGGGGCTGCCCTGAGGCTGCAACCAAAGAAACTTCAGAAGACGGCAAAATTGGTTGTATTTGAGTGGAGGGCTGGGACACAGGTGCCTGGGAGGAGAACAAAGTTGATGTTTCTGAGGAATTGGGC